ATTCAATAACTTCATGGCTTCAACGTAGCCTGCATCAGGTTCCATATAATGACATCCTTTTATAAGGTCTTTAGGTTCTCCATCCAGATATTGTTGTAGATTTGCATGCGGGCTCCACTTGATTTGACGTTTCTTTCAACTCGCATCCCGAATGTACGTATAAAAAGGTGATACTCTGTTGGATCGCCTTTGAAACTGGACAGGGAAAGTGAGGGCAAAAAATTCTGTTGATGTTGTTCAGAGAGCATTTCTGTCAGTCGATTCTGTTTTTCCAGTAAGTATATTTTGACTCAATGTCGTTTTGAATAAAGGCTTGTTCTCGAGCTTGAGCAATAGCAAGTTCTTCTTGTAATCGTAATTTTTCCGACTCATTCTCAAGTGCCTGTTTTTTCTCTAACAACGCGGCTTTTGCTCGTAATTCGGCGACCTTTGCCCTTTCTCTAGCTCTGCCCGACGTACTCTAATGTCTTGAACCGGCCGATCGACGAGACTCGATTGAGGACTTCAAGGCGCTTGACTTGTCATCCATTTGTTCTTCTATTTTGTATTTAGCCACGGCAATCCAATCGACTATTTTGACTTTACAATTATTCATTATTCGAAAATGTTCGTCATACCAATCAGTTACCGGAACGAGCTCTTGTCCCGATAATAAACCACGCCACGCTTCATAAGCTGCTTGAAATTCAACCAGTTGTTGACTGAATACTTCTAAATCGTTTTGAACTTCGTGCACGTTGTCCCACTCGGTTATGGAGCCTTCTATCGTCTTCATTATTTTGGTTATTCGCTTCTGTATGGATTTACAATGTTCTTTCTTCCTCTCGATTTGATATGCCCGTCCTTTGTCTGTTTGTTTTTTGAACCGTCTATTTACACGAACGCTAATATCATCATTTCCCAGCGGCGTTAACTCCAGATCTAAATCCATGTCGCTTAGTTCGCTTACTAAGCTATCAGCTTTCGTTGACATACTTCGGTTGAAACGTTTTTGTACTAATGTCGATGCGAATCTGCGATATGCTCGCTCGACACCGGCAGGGATGAACCAAATTAAACAACACTTTGTACTCGTTTATATTATACTTATTTCCGTTATACTTTAATCGTTTATAACATAGTACGGTACAAAAACGTTGTAACTATAGTACAAGATCGGTAGAATTAAGCTAAGTTGTTCGTTCAATGTACGTTAATCACTAATGAAGTTCTCGTCTAGACGACCTAGCTGTTAAATATTAGCGGTTAGTTATATATGAATATATTACATGATTATACAGGACACAAACAAGTCAGAATTGAAAGCAGGGGCGTAGGAAGCGGGGGGGGGGGGCACGGGGGGCACGTGCCCCCCCAAATTTTTTTAAAGGACTAAAAGTGCCCTTTTTTGTGATAAAAAGTGCCCTTTTTGTGTTGAAAAGTGCCCTTTTTTGTGAGGAAAAGTGCCCCTTTTGTAGAAGCTAATGTCGCTGTAAATACTAAATTAAAACAATAGGTGCCGTTTTTGTGTGGAAATTTACAAATTTTTTTTAAAAATTAGGTCACAAACATAAATTTCGGTATGATACGACGGAAAATTTTCCTCAGGAAAATTTCCTTTTTTAGGTGCCCTTTCCGATAGTAATGTGCCCCTACAAGCCGGTGCCCCCCCAAACTCCAGGTGCTTCCTACGCCCCTGATTGAAAGGCTAATATGCAAATAGCTATCCTAAAATTTGAATAAGTATCTATAACTATCTTAAATTAAACATAAACAATAAGCTATATATTTTTGGCACTAACACTGTATAATCCAGTATACTCACGAGTATGCTCATGTATTTACCCTGCAGTGATTTACCAAAACCCAGTATAATCATTAGCATGCTCATTATTAGGGACCGTTCATTATTTATACCTGGGGTTGGTACCGAAGAGAAGCGAAAAACAGTGTAATTTTTTTATGTACCCAACCTCAACATTGGTCAACATAGCGTTTACCCAACCCGTGTGTTACTGTACTTCATAATAATTAAACACACAAGTTTGGTGATGCTCTTTCTAGCTGTGATGAAATTTTTGTCTAGATCAAAATTTAGTCTATAATGCAAATGGTCCATTCCGCCATCTTGACTCACTAGCTTTTCCCATAGACCGAATGACTAAAATTCGTGCTCCAGACTATATATGGAGCTCACTGGTGTAAACCATTGAAATATGTATAAATAAATTGAAGGCTAACTCAGGGGGGGGGGGGGATTGAAGCCAGTGCATTTTAGTTTTTCTGAGTTATGAGCAGAAATACTCAACGTACTGAACGTTGTGCTGTATATGAAATATATATTGATATATAGCCCAACGTTTGGGATTTTAAGTATTTCTGCTCATAACTCAGAAAAACTATTTTGGCTTCAACAAATCATAGGCCTTCATCACAGCAGTTAGCCTTCCAGTTTATTTATAGTTCAATGGTGTAAACAGGCCTTAACTTTTGGCAATTGCTAGATAGTATACTTCAAAATAAGGTTTCCGTTTTTATATCAATTTTTAAAATAAGTTAGGGTAAGGTTTAATATTAGGATGTTAGGGTTTGTAATCCAAGTGAGAATATATACATTTTAAGACCTAACCAGGAACGACTGCGAAAAATGCAGCACAAGGTCCTCTGGTAGGAATTGAACCTACGGCCCTGCGATTCCGGTGCAGCGCTCTAACCAACTGAGTTACAGAGGCCAGGTTAGGTTTATAATAGGTTTAGGGTTGGGGTCAGTGTTAGTGTTAGTGTTAGTGTTAGTGTTAGTGTTAGTGTTAGTGTTAGTGTTAGTGTTAGTGTTAGGGAAAGGGTTTAGTTTTGCGTTAGGATAGCTTTTTCTACGTTATAAAAACGGAAACCTTATTTTGAATAATTATTAGGGCTATTAGCCCTACAAATTTTCGAATTAATACGCTTCGTATTTTTTGAGTTTTTGTGCTGAAAGGCAAAAACACGCGCACATTCAAATCCAGGTGAAAACATAACCTCCTGAATAACATTGTACGAGTTACAACTTGTTGACAAGTGTGCGACAAGCCACTTGCGAACACATCTTGTTGACAAGTTGTGACATTTTTAGTACAAATTAAACATTAACAACGATCAGTTTAAAGCAAAAGTGAAGCCAAGAAGGCGGGCAATGACGTCCAATAACTATGAAGAGGGTCCTGAAGGGGTAAAATGGGAACTGGGATTTGCTTATTTTTGGGTGGGAAAATGGGATTTCATGCACTGGGACTGGGATTCATCAGCAAAAAAAAAACAATAGAAAATGGGAATGGGATTACGATTTGAGCAAGAGAGCCACTGCGATGATGGGATTTGTGCTTTGGGACAATGGGATTTAGTCAAAATTTGGGCTGGGAAATGGGAATACGACCCCCCCTTCAGGACCCTCTATGAAGGTCGTCAACAGTTTCAATACCATTACCCCAAGCCAATTCCAGTTTTTTATAACGGACTATATCGCTAAACAAGTTATCAGTTCATAAAACCATAGTGTTATTCTTTAAATCGACGTCAAAATACGAAATTTCGCCACACTCCTTGCCAATATGGCGGAAACTGAAAATCTATAGGACGTCAGTTACTCAGTTCCAGTCCCTTTCTATTTTTTATCTGCGCAAACAACACGAAGCTGGCTTCACTTTTTGGACTCTACAGTTATCGCTCCAGATATACATGGAGCAGCAGAGCTCAACGGATACTTTTAGGAGACGAACGGATACTTTTAGACGATGTAACATTTAACAATACGTTTAAAATGCAAGCTCAACTGCAAATGGCTGTACGTACGTGTCAGCTTTTTACGATTTTTACGTCAAGACCAAGCCTTGGAATTCTAACTCAGACGTCTACACCATTTAATTCGTTGCTTTCTCTTCATCTATCTTTCTAGGTACTATGCTAAATAAGACAGTTAAGAAACGTCACGTCATGGTTTGTTTCTACTGGATGAAACAAGTGCCTTTCGACCCATAGCTAATTGTCATGGTGGACCAACGTTTTGATTCTGTGCGATCAACAATTAATGTGGTTGAAGCACCACTGGTATATAGTACATGAGTATTCTGTTCCTTCGGGTTAAGAAAGGCCTTGTCCCCTTCAACAGCAGTATAACAGACGAATAAGATTTAAAAATATGCTTTTATTCGCTAAAATTAACTTTGTAAAAAAAGAATGCTCACTGAGGCGTGAGAACCGAGCCAAAAAACACTGGTAAAAATACCCCCTGGCTAGCTAATGAGATGCGGTTTAAAGGAAAAATAGCGCGAAAACGAGTGAATAATATTAAAGGCTAGAAAGTATCTCTAGGGGCCATAGTGGCCAGAACACTCCCCGTCTGGTATGAAAATATCACTACGTTTAACGTTCTAAAGTGTTATTATTGAGTCACGAACACGAATTTAGTTCGTATTCAGTTTTTAGCAGGATCAGTTCTGTCACTGGTCTGGTGTACACTTGCTTTGAGCCGTTCTTTGATGTCGTTACTTCTACCTTTCGAACTTTTTCATCCGCGCTGCTTAGGGTCTTCGAGACGTGAGCTAGCGGCCAATCGTTTCTCGGCGATTCTTTGCATCGGAGGAGGACCAGATCCCCCACTTGGAGATTTGGAACGTCTGTTGTCCACTTTCGCCTGTATTGTAATGTCGGCAAGAATTCTTTTCTCCATCTTGACCAGAAACGGTTGGCTAATAGTTGTACTTGCCGCCACTGTTTGGTATAGAGGTCTTGGGGGACAAAATTTCCTGGGGTTGACTTGAGTGTTGCCGTTTTTTGCGTCAGGAGAGTAGATGGTGTGAGGATTTCGGGTGCAGAGGGGTCGCTTAAGATGGCTACTAGCGGTCTGTTGGTTACGATAGCTGTCACCTCGGCCATCAGTGTTGATAGGACTTCGTGAGTCAGTCGTGTTGGTCTTAGCTCGGCCATCATCGAGTCCAGGATTCGTCTAGAAATACCGATCATACGTTCCCACACGCCTCCTGTATGCGAAGCGTGAGGAGAGTTGAAAATCCATTCGCATTCTTGAGAATTCAAGTACGTCTCCACGATCTTTTGATCCGTTTCCTTTAGAGCCGATTCTAGTTCGTTCTGAGCTCCTTTGAAGTTCGTTCCGCAGTCCGAGCGAATCTGTTGAACGGGCCCTCTGATAGCCATGAATCTTCGAAGTGCATTTATGAAACTAGAAGCGTCCATACCATAGATATCTCATATACACCAATCTCGTACCCAGAGCAATGCCTGAGCATTGGCTCTGGGGAAATTGAATTTTTCCTGTGCTGTGATTGGTTTAACGCTTATCAATCGTGCATGCCGACAAAGAACCGGAACCCCTAAATTTAGGGGTTCCGGTTGTCAATTTCCCCAGAGCCAATGCCATCCTAGCCCGCGCACAGGCATTGCTTTGGGTACGAGATTGCATCACTGATCTAATAGTAGACTGGATATAGCTTCTCTAGGTGTGAAAAGTGAAGCCAAATTATATATGCGAAAATCACTTCCGGGGACCACGGAGTGATACAAATTACTATAGAAATGTATGGCGAACAACGTGAACCAAGCTGAATTTTGCCGAATTTGAGATACTTTGCGACGTTTTACCAAGCTGATCGCTACACCGTGGGTAAAAGATGTTATATTAATGCTTTTAAAACGAAAATTATCCAGATTGCTCTAAAATATCGTCAGTTTTGTTCGTTCAAAGTTGTCCATGCGGGAATAATATTTTATCGCCACAGTGGTATGACAACACAATTTCTAGTTTGCTTTCCAATTACGGAGGCAGATTATGATCTACTATACTCAAGCATACTTTTAAAGGAAAGTTAGTAGTTCATTTTATCATTTATGTTTAACCTTGATCGACCAGAGGGTTTCAAACTTTCAACTATCCATCTTACTATAAAGCCTTTTTACAAAATATATGACATTATTATATAGATTATAGACATGTCTTAGTTGCAATAGTTGGTACTAAAGATATTTGTACTTTTCTAAGTACTTTTTATTTGTTATTCTGTTAAACTGGAAGGCAACCTTAATGAAGCTTTCTGTAGAGTGAATCTACTTCAGTAAAGTGAATCTACTTTAATAGTGAAGTTGAATTTTGAATTAGAACAACAAAATTGATTTACTGTAAAATGTGGGGTGTATTTATCATTCAATATCTAAATGAGTATAAATATAAGAACAAATATAAAATATATCATTCAAAGTTAATTTGAAATAATAATCTGCTTAAACCTCAACCACTGTCCACTGATGGACTCCACGATCATTAATACCAAAGTAAAATTGTCAGACAACTTTACTGCAGGCAGTATGATATTCTGACAATGTAAGTTAAAATATACATGCTTTTTTAGGTTGCCTTGGCCAATTATTCATGAAATTATTTCTAATTTAAGTTTCTAATTGCCTATACTTCAAAAGCATGGTTTCCATGACCAGTTGTGCTGTTTCGACGAGAAACCCCAGGTGACAAAACACAACATTTGAACTGCAACCAGTGTTTCTTTTTTGAATACCCCTGGGCCTGGCCAGGATCCTGAAAGAGGCCGTCAAATTTTGGTACAACAATACATCCACAGTAAGGGGGGGGGGGGGACATTCCTCTGGAAAACCTTTGAATTTTAAGTTACTTCATGTCATTATCTGTTCCAAGCTCATTCGAAATTTTTCAAAACACTTGGCTTTGTGAGTTTGTGCTGCTATGCTTTTTTACTTAACTACGACATTTTCATTCAGCCAGCTACACCATCAAATTGATCAAAATGCCTGGTTTCCATATCAGCCGAAATAGTAATACAACATTTTAGAACTGAAAATATGCTGAGTGATTATAACTAGTGAATATGATTTATATGTGGTTTACAGGTATAAACTATTATATACTGACCGTTGAGAAAGATTGTGACTCAATTTCTATGACTGTTATGACCATATGGGAAACCAGGCTTTACTCATGTAGTAATTAACCAATGACAGAGGGGACATTTTTTTGGGACACCCTGTATATGCTGGGAATTTGGTGAAAAAGCACCAATGGATATTTTACAACAAGGCCCCGTTTACATGAGACCGGAACGAAGTCAAACCAGGATAATTTCGTTTCGGTCAGAGTATAATTTATAACAGATGTTTACATGAGACCGGGACAAAAATAACTCAGACTGGTCTCAAGTCATTCTGCCTGCTGGACCAAGCCGACTGGCTTCAGACCGGCATGACTTCAGACCGGCATGACTTCAGACCGGCATGAATTCAGATCGGGATGAATGTAAACACAAAACATTTCAGACCGGTCTCGGCTGTAACCTTGACATTGGAACAACACATGCTATTAAAACAAAAGCCATCTGAAAAAGAAAATTTCCCGTCAAGGGGAATAAATTGAAAATTTTGTGATTTTCGAACCGGTCTCATGTAAACATGTTGACCATTTCAATTTTCATTCCGGTTTGACTTCATCCCGGTCTCATGTAAACAGGCAGGGCCTTACAAACGTTTATATATAAATGAATGAAATTAATGAACAATACTCTCAGCCTCTGCACTCTAAAAACAATATACACTCTGCAACTGAAAGTTTAAAATTCAACTGCAATATAAAAGTAAAATTCACTATACAGAAAGCTTCATTAATATTGTCTTCCAGTTTAACAGAATAACAATTAAAAACAAGTACTAAAAGTACAAATATATTTATTACATATCTTTAGAACTATTAAATACATGTACTATTAAAACCTTCTGGTCGATCAAGGTTAAACACAAATGATCAATGAACTACTTACTTCCCTTTAAAAGTTTGCTTGGTCATAATCTGCCTCCGTAATTGGAAAGCAAACTAGAAATTGTGTTGTCATACCACTGTGGCGATAAAATATTATTCCTGCATGGACAACTTTGAACGAACAAAATTGACGATATTTTAGAGCAATCTGGATAATTTTCGTTTTAAAAGCATTAATATAACATCTTTTACCCACGGTGTAGCGATCAGCTTGGTAAAACGTCGCAAAGTATCTCAAATTCGGCAAAATTCAGCTTGGTTCACGTTGTTCGCCATACATTTCTATAGTAATTTGTATCACTCCGTGGTCCCCGGAAGTGATTTTCGCATATATAATTTGGCTTCACTTTTCACGGTGAAGGCTATTTCAGATACGGTAGAGCACCTAGTCCCCAGGCCTTTACCAGCGCGACCGCGAAATTCAATATGGCGCCAAGCTAAGGAGTGGAGTTTAAATGGAGTTTATATTCTATAATTTCTATTGTTGTTTTTTGATCTTTTT